AAAGTGAATTACTATGGGCTTAAATTTTTTCACCATGTCTATTTTTTGAATTATTCTGTAGTTTTTTTTATTTGGCAAGAAATGTACTGAGGTCTGGGTACAGGACTGGGTCTCAAAAGCATCTGTGCTTTCTTTTTTGCTTTGCTACAGATTTCCTGTGTGTCCTCCACTGTACTTTTTCTTCCCCATTGGGAATAGACCCTTTGAAGGATTACTGTGATACAAATAACACAGAAGAAGTTAAGCAGATGGCTCAAGAAACTTACAAGTCAGGATTATTCTCTGTTTTACTTAAAAAACTCAAGCAACACAAGGAGAAAATACGTTACTTACAGGAAACACATCACTGAAAAGCCTGGGGAATAACAAAGAACCACACTAATATCTTAAAATGTGATTTTGTACCCCAGGGAAGTGACAATGACCTGTTAATGTCCTGCTTTTGAAAAAACAGTGTTATGTAGAATATATTTTTAAATTAAGCATACATGAACCCACCTGTCCTCATAAAAGTGATACCTGAAAAAACAGTGTTATGTAGAATTTTTAAATTAAGCATACATAAACCCACCTGTCCTCATAAAAGTGATACTTTCAAAAAATACTTGTTTTGCTACCTGTTACAGCATTTTCATGAGCACAATTTAAAAGGCTGTGCAAATAAAGCACAGTACATACTTTTTAGTTTACAGAAAGAAAAGTTACAATTTTTTGTATGAAATTCCATCTATAGTTCAACAACAGTGAACAAATAAATCCAGAGCCTCTGCTACCACGTCCCATAAAGTGTAACAATTGTTAGTTTATATTCAAAAACTGGTCTGGTTTCCCAAAGCAAAGGTTGGAGACAAACAGTATTTTGGAGAGCTTGGAACATGTGCTACCTAGATTTTGCATGAATCACAAGAACATGTCACTAGTTTAAAATTATTTGAATAATTTCAATTACTATCTCTCCTGTTTGCACCAAATTTCATCAACCTGTTGCCTCTGGACTCATACACTTGATTCTTCTCTACATGACTATTATTGTCCTGTCAACTTGTCTCTTGTGTGTTCCACTAATAATGTATCTATGTTCCCTCTCTTCTTCATAAGCTTTCGTAATCACGTTCTCATGCTGGTTCCAATATAAAGAGTATTCTCCTTAATTTTAACTATCAAAAGTCAGCCACCACCTTGCATCCATGATTGGTGCACAGAAGGTAGAATGCTCTCTGTACATCATCAGTTTTCACTTATACCTACAGCAATCCCAAAGTTTCGCTCACCCGAGCAGCACTGTCTCATGATTTAATCATATTTCCCCACGGATATGACCAATGTTAGTGAGTCATTATAGCAATAGAAATCTTTCCTAAATAAAAGAATCACTAAATACCAGAATATATTGTCCTAGGGAGGCATCTATTAAACCACTCCAATGGTTCTTAGACACAAATAGTACAGCCAATTAAAAATTGTAATTCTCCCATTCTTCATCCCATTCTTTGCTTGGAAGTGCTTCTCCGATACCTTGAGTAGCAAAACAAGATGCATTTGCAGGCTGAAGTTACTAGAGCTCAAAATTCAGCATCTGTATGTGTGTTTTCATTAACTAATATGTAGGATTATGAACTGTGGTGCCCGAAAACTGAATACATGGTTTAATTCTGGAGAGTCTGAGGACACAGGTCAGAGAGCAGTGTGTCATACCTGTAGAGCTTCAAAGAACATCAAACAATGTCAACAGACTATCAAGTGTGGGCTGGGAAGAGTCTACCCAGGAAAAGAGAGGCTTTGTGTCTTCCGGATCTTCTTCTATGAATAATTCTTAATTAAATTCAGAAACGCCATGCTAAAGAGGACATCTGCAAGACGTAGTTCTTCTTACTCTATGAAGATTTTACTTGCCACAGTGTAAGATTACAAAGAGACTGACACAGATATTTTCATCATATTTACAGACAGCATCTAGTGTAGATAAGAAACCTAAGGATGTTCTAAAGAAATGAATCACTTAGATACTTCTATTGAAGCTTTCAGTAGTGATGCAACACTGATTTTCCTGTTTCAGGCATGATTTGTCATTATACATTTACTTCTTCAGTATCCACTTTCTCATCTCAACCTTCTTCCCAGCCATCATCTGGGCTAAATAGACTTTATTCTGCATTCCCAGAAAACGTTTTGGAGCTGTCTCATTTTGAAAAAGAAACAAGTATATTTTAACTTACATGTGTTCAGCATTACTCTTTTTAATCATAGATTCTTTAGGCTAATAAAAAGTAGTAAAGAGAATACAAACATCCCAGAGAAAAAACAGAACCCTTCTGAAATCACCAATTGGGAGTTATCCAGACTGAATTGAACTTTGCGTAATGTTGGGGCTGGATTTTGGAAAAACAGCATGAAAATGATTTCTGCATTTTCTCAAGCAAATTTTATCACTTCATGGTAATTTTTTCTTTTATTTTTCTTTTAATTTTTTTTTTTAATTTACTGCATTCAAACATGAGACCTGGAACCTTTTTTTTTTTTATGTCTTCCATATGTACAATACTGTCATGGCATAAATTAAAGATGTTCCACTTCTTGAGCATTTCTTTCATTTCAGTATCCTTTCTCTATTTCAGATCTCCTTGATGCAATGCCCAGACCTGCTTGGAAACTTGTATCTCTATTGGTTATTATTACTTAGTGAGCTTATATTATTTGAAACAAATGGGAGTCTAGCCAGCCTACAATCACTTATTTTTGCAAACAGAAATAACATTTTAATGTGGGTAATTAGCAGAAAATCCTAAAAGCTTCCAAGATAAGAGAGTATCTAGTTTGTTTGGCAAAATTATTTCAAATAACAGCAACTAAAGTTTTGAAAACATATGTTGTTCTGCATTTGAGGTATTGAAAGCAAATGTGGCAAATGCTGGACAGTAGTGAAGGAAAGGCACCCCGAGCAGGAGTTTGGGAACTGTGGTTTTCAACTTCAGAGGAATCATTTAAATCCTTAATGGCAGCTCCCCAGATAAAGTGAAAATAACATTCTGTGAAGGGTGGCCAACTGTTTAGGACTCAATAATCAGGCTTTTATTCAACCAGCCTTCTGGAGTTGCTTCTATCACAGATAGTGGTGCTGGCAAGCAAAATCAAAATTTTTTATCTCATAGGATGCATTCCTGTAATAGTTTCTAAAAAAGCCCAAACAATTTTGGTTTGCAAAGTATCTGTTGAACATATATGTGTCCGGACTTCCGGACTAGGCACTAGTGCATTTGTCAAGCACGAAAAACAATCTAGATTTGCATGTGGCTTACATGTCATTATTTCCAGAACTGCCACCATGTTGCTCAATTATTTTCTTTAAATTCTCAAATATGTTTGAGTTAAAATAACTGGGGAGTTCATCTGAAATCCAAAGGGCCAACAGGGGCTGACCTTTTTTACCTCTGCATGTTTTCCTCTCTGTTTGTACCAGAAAAATGTGAATGAAACCAACTCCCCATTCCCTCAGCAGAGGAACTTCAGTTTCACCATAAGGAAGCCACACAGAAAGTGTGAGCAGATCTCATTCTGGCCTTCACTTTTACTATGGAGTAGGACAGGAACCAAAACTACAGTCATTAGTCTCCAGTCAAATTCCTTCTGATTTTTATGGAAAAGGGACTTGGACATGGATAATAGTATTTTTCCCTGTTACTCAACATTATAGTCTTTGAGGCTTGTACACCCTCTGATTTATTTTCTACAAGTTTGGAATAGATCTCTTTTGGTTTTCTTGTTCAGCAAGAAGAATTTTCATGAGTAATTTTCACAGTTTTTTCCATGTTCCTTTCCTTTCCTTTCCTTTCCTTTTCCTTTCCTTTCCTTTCCTTTCCTTTCCTTTCCTTTCCTTTCCTTTCCTTTCCTTTCCTTTCCTTTCCTTTCCTTTCCTTTCCTTTCCTTTCCTTTCCTTTCCTTTCCTTTCCTTCCTTGCCTTGTCCTTTCCTTTCCTTTCCTTTCCTTTCCTTTCCTTTCCTTTCCTTTCCTTTCCTTTCCTTTCCTTTCCTTTCCTTTCCTTTCCTTTCTTGTTTCTATTTTTCCCTTTTCCCTTCCTATTACCTACCCTTCAGCATTTTGTGTCCCACCTGGGCAGAGTCCTGTCAGCAGAAAAGCAAATTGATCTCACTTCCATTTCTCTGGGGGCCGTGGGGGATGGAGGCAATCAGTATTTTTGAGAATCATGTTACTTTAATTTTAAGATCTGAATACCAACTAGTTTCTCATGCTATGACTTGAGTGCTTAGGTTTACATTATATTTGTTCCTCTCCTGAGTCTTAAACTAACTAGAAGTGCTGTAATAAATAATGGAGGATATTTTTCTGGGTTTTGTTTTTTTTTTCCAACATTGTACTTTCTGTTGAGATGAAGCAATGATTTTACAAAATAAAGTCAACTACTTAGGTCATGTGTCTCCAAGTTATTTCTTTATTTTTTTTAAATAAGCAGATTAAAGTTTCCTATATTTTCACCTTAAAAAAAAAGATGTGAGGAAAATATTATTGAAAAATGGTTTTGTGTTTTATTTACTCACAATAAGATGCAACATTCTGTTTTTCCTCTTCATTTACACTGAATTTTCAATTTAGAAATATCAGATGGTTTAGCAGCATTCGTGGTCCTTTATTTCCATGTCATTTGTTTCAGTTTTTTGCTTCTGAGGTAGAAATCATTCAGGTTGCAACGAAGAATCCAAATCTTTTTTTTTCTATTCAATTGGTTCTAGTTCCAATGGTAAAAGTTATAAAATTTTTAGCAGTCCTACCAGCAGCACAATTAATAGCTCTGTTGTTCTCAGATATGTTAGGTTTTCTCTATCCTTCTATCACTGAGAAATCTGATTTCTACTTTATTTTTACCCTCTTTATTCACTTTTGAGTAAAATCAGTATCATGCTACTATCCTTTCTCATATTTAACAAGTGAACAATGAACAATATTTATCACTCGGCAGAGTCAAAAGAATTTCAATAGATTCTTACCTGTAATTCTGTTTTTCATTTCCTATGTGAAATCTGTCATACTGTGAATATGCCCGGTTTCCTTCCCAGTCCATTAATTCAATTCTTAGAGAATATTGCCTCTGACTTGTTATTGCAAAGATAAATTCATTTCCCAGCCAATGTTCACCTGATGGGTTACCAAAACCCTAGAAAAAAGTTGGCAAAATAACTAGATGTAATTACTGTAATTGGCAGAACCTTTACACAACAATAAAACCAGCATTATATTTTACCTATGCATTCTAATTACTGGTCATAGCCTTCTGTGCTCCAGTTTGACTATCTATAAAATGAGTCTACTAATATGTATAATGTAGGAATGTCATGCAGTTCAACTGATATTTGAAAGGGCAGCTGAGGTTATCAGTTGAAAATCACTTTCCAGTTACATGATATTAATAGTATGATGCTGTATTTGCACATCATTCAGTGGGAATACTGGACATAGTCATATTCTATAATACATTTCATATGGTGTCAAACGTAGCCATCATTAAGACAATTAAGTTAAAACAGAGTTCTTCTATACACTATACAATATTAAAGAGTTTAAATTAGCCTAGATGTAACACTGAATTCAAGCTACCTGTGGGTGATAACTCATGTCTAAATCTCTAAAGAATGGCTGATTCCTTTCCTGTCGAGTGCCTGTCACAACTAAAGGAGCAAGGGTTTTAGTTTAAAATCCCCTTCTGTATATAAGATCTGTTGGACAGACAAGTATCTCTGAGTTGTAACATTTATTTATTTCATTTTTGATCCACTAAAACTCACATTGGCTAAGATTTTGATTGTGATAAAGTTTTGTTCTCTCCCTTCTGAGGTGAAATATGCTGTGTTAGCGTATATATTAGCTAGATAAGCTATATGTTTTGATGCTTTGAAAAACATTTAGGAATGTTCCCATAGACTATCCAAAAGCACAGGAGAGGGTACTGTAAGTTTAATTTTTCTAAGAATTAAAAATAAAGAGCAGTAAAAAACTTAAGGTACCTAGCTCTCCTCACATTTCACATATTCAAATTATCTTATTTCCAGTAAGCAAACTACATAATTTCACACATTGACAAACAATAATGACAGAAAAAGTTTAATTAACTTTTAAAATGTATTCCTAGACCTACAATTTTGTTCATCTGCCAAGTTTTAAAGTTGTTTAATCTTTAATATTTTACTATGTTCAATTTAAGGTTTTATTTAAAGTCCTTACTGTAATTTACTATATATTTGAATTATTTTTCTTTGTAAATTATTAGTTCTTACCTGGCAACTCTTAGGTCCATTTTTAATTTTCTACTTTTTTTCTCTTTAAACAGTAAAAATCATTTTAGGCCATAATCTTAACTTGTGAAGAACTATTTCATCATAACTGTGATTATTCATATTCTTAAGACTGGAAAAGAGGGAATCAGAAATCTCCTGATTTTCCTACAGTTATGTGCTGGGAGTGTGTTAGAATACCTAGTGAAAATTTCCCGGTCAAATTAAATGAAAGATTGGATTAATTCAAAAAAGCACGTATTTTTAAAGGGGATTGAAATGAAGAGACTAGCATTGGACTAAAGGTTAGGTAATGAGAAATGTGTCTGTGAGACGCATTGGCAAGACATCAATCTTCTCTATACAGTTTCAGTCACAACTAACATGAGATGGAAACACCAAAAGTACAACCCTCTCTCTTTTTCTCTCTTTATTGCGTTACTCCGGCTCCAGCCCTGACTAGTTTGCTCTACTGAGGATGAAATCCTTCCTCCCCAGAGGCCATGTGACAGCACAGGTAATACTCACTCAGGCAACGCTTAAGTATATCAGCTGAAAACTTCTAAAGAAACTCCATTTAAAAAATTTAGAAGCTTAAAATTTTGGTTGGAACAAAAAATATAAAATGGAGGGATTTTTTTGTTACTGTTGCTCCTACAGGGAATTACATTAGGAAATACTTTATCAGGAGTCATTTTTGTTTTCACTACCCCACCTGAGCAGATATTTGGTGACTCACTGATACTAGAGACTGAGAAGACATGACACCTTTGGCTGTGCTGAACGGAGTACACTAGTTTATGAGCTGAATAAACATGCCTGCCTTTTGCTTCAGTGACCATCAAGTGATACCCATGGACAAGCTGTTTAATCTGTAAGAACTGAAATTCAGTAGTCTGTGGCAAGTCTCAGAGAAGACTCAAATTGAAATATGTGAGAACACCATTAGTTGGCTTTTCCCTTCCCACATTTTATTTCATTATGTTTGCTTTCTCAAGTAGATTATGTCTTATGCAAGTCCCTGTAAATATTGGTTGTAATTAATACTGGTGAATATCTTGCTTTGAACAGATCTGTCTTCCAGTCTGAGCTCCCACTCCTCAAGCTTTCCCATTATGATTCTTCTATTATCTTTCATATACTGCTTTGATGGAATTCATATGCATATTTGGCATCATACATTGCTCCTAAAATACAAAATCTTGTTCCTCACCCTGTCTAGAGCTGACATACCCTTCTGTAGTTATCACTGTTTTCTGTCTGTTCCTTTGATTCTTTCTGTCTCCTTGCCTTGCCTCTCTGCTCTGTGACTGTCACGCGTGGTGTCTCCTGTTCTAGCATTTTGGCAGTGTCATACCAGAGCAGTCAGTAGTTTGTCTCTGGCATCCTCTTACACCGCTGATCACTGCCACTTGTCTCAGAGGAGCACAAAATATGATCTGCAGTGACTACCTAACAACAAGTTTGTCTCCCTAAAATCCAGAAGTGGAGCATAGGTGTTCATATATCAGTCAAAGTAGGTTTCTTTGCAGTCCACGTGCATTCTTATTCACAGAAGACATATTATTACTATTATCAGCTGTCTTTCTTTAAAATAAGATTTTCAGGAAATTATCCCTTCTTCCCAGCACTGAAAAACTGAGGGGACTCCCTTTTGAACTGTGGCTCTATTGAATTATATATGTCTTATCTTATTTAGATTACAGCCTATTCAGGATGTAATACATGTGACTTTTTAAACATTATGTGTTCCCATGTGTTCTATAGAAACTCCAGACACCACATACAATTATTCTGAAATAATAATGTCTATTCTTCACATTTACACTTCCTTCTCCCTATTCACATGTGTTATTACACAATGATGAAAATCTATCATTGAGTGGTTTGCTCTCCTGACCAGAGGAAATGAAGCTGCAGCAACAAGGAACAGAAGGAATATAAAATTAGGAATATTAAAAATCATGAGGAAAGCCACCACATTAGTTATGAAAAACTGAATCCTACTTTAAGGGGCTACAATACTTAAACTCAGATTAGAAATACCTAGAGTAAGATTTTATTTTTTTAAATCTTATTTTTCCTTGATGAGAGTAACTTCTTTTTAATCAAACTACTTGCTTTTATGAAAAGAAAATCGAGGAAGTAAGTGGAATGTAAAACATCTCTGAAGCGAGGAATGTTTCTAAGGAGAAGTACTGTACTTTATTAAACACCTAATATGGCTGAAAAGAAATAAACAAACAAATAGCACTCAGAGCTTTCATAGATCTAAACCAGGAAGGAACAATACATTTCTGTTGAGGATAGAGTTGGCAACAATTTCTTCAAGTATAATTTTATTATGCCAAACTCAACTATTTCCAACCTGTATTTAGTCTGCAGTTTACTGCCTCTGTTTCAGAGTAGATGAAAGACTTGCGTGCAAGTTGATTTTTCCAGATACTTTGTATGAGTTAATAACTGCACAGTTGTTTACATCTTACTTAGACTGTGTCTACTACAAGAACACTACCACTCTGATGACATATGTAAGTGTTTTTGTGCAGAAGACAATGACATAGTATTAGCAAAAAACCCCTGAAATTCATGATTTAATTTTGTGTTTCCATTCCCAACCCTGAGGCTGGCAAAGAAAATGGTTGTGCCTGGTTCTTTTGGTTGACAAAATCTTTTGTCTTTTAGTAATCAGAAAACTTAAGGAAACAAGCTTGTGTAATTGTTATGCCTACTGGCCCTTTATTTTTGTGCAATAATTTTTGAATGCTTTTGAGGTTGGGTTAAAAATCACACAAACTTGAAGTTCAACAAAGTTTCAGGAGAACTGGTGTCTTGTCTGAGATGAGTTGCTGCTGGGAGAAATGTTGAAGCAGAAGCTCAGCAGTTGCCTATTCCAATTGCCTATGAGCAGACATATATTAGCCAGCCAAGTGCAGATGCTGAGTATGTATTTCTTCAGAGGATCCTTAGATATCTGGGAGAGATTTGAGGGACATAAAAGAGGAACTCAAGCTTTTGCCGCAGAGAATCTTAAAAAATAATAGTGATTCAGGAGATTATTAGTAATAAGAATCCTTGGCTGCATCAAAAGGAGTGTGGCCAGCAGGTGGAAGGAGGTGATTCTGCCCTTCTACTCTGCTCTTGTGAGACCCCACCAGGAGTAATGTGTACAGTTCTGGTGTTCCAAACATAAGAAGGACATGCAACTCTTAAATCAAGTCCAGAGGAGGCCATGAAGATGATAAGAGGACTGGAGCACCTTTATTACAAACACAGGCTGAGAAAATTGAGGCTGTTCACCAGCAGGTGGAAGGAGGTGATTCTGCCCTTCTACTCTGCTCTTGTGAGACCCCACCAGGAGTAATGTGTACAGTTCTGGTGTTCCAAACATAAGAAGGACATGCAACTCTTAAATCAAGTCCAGAGGAGGCCATGAAGATGATAAGAGGACTGGAGCACCTTTATTACAAACACAGGCTGAGAAAATTGAGGCTGTTCAGCCTGGAGTAAACTGGAGCACCTTTACTACAAACACAGGCTGAGAAAACTGAGGCTGTTCAGCCTGGAGTAGAGAAGGTTGCATGGGGACCTCTTAGCAACTTTCCAATAGCTGAAGTTTGCCTATAGGGAAGCTGGAGAAGGAGTCGTCATCAGGAACTGTAGTAATAGGACAAGAAGTAATGGGTATAAATTGAAAGAGGGGAAATTTAGATTAGATATTAGGAGGAAAGTCTTTACTGTGTGGGTGGTGAGACACTGCTTTCCCAGGGAGGTTGTGGATGCCTCAACCCTGGCAGTGTTCAAAGTCCAGTTGGACCTGAGCAACCCGGTCTAGTGGGGAGGTGTCCCTGCCCAGGGCAGAGGCGGATGGGACTAGATGATCTTT